AAGGCATAAATAAATACTCATGCGCAATGGCACATAAATATCTTGTCAAAGAATAAATGTGATAATAAATATCATTTGATGATCTGATGGCTGCCTTCCCGAACGAATTTATTTATGTCATTGCTTGAGTCAACATCCATCTCAAAAGATGATTTATGCCAAGAATAATGATTGACTTGAGTGTTGCAAGCAGTTTGCAGGTGTCACATTATGACAGTCTTAAAATTGCATCAAAAGGACGATAAATGAATGTGTCTAGTTCAATCACTCGATCGTTTCATTCGATTGATCGTATTAAACTTCAACTTAAGCGTCCGTCTATCACTTCTTTCTTTCACAACGATTAAGTCGTCGTCGTCTACAACTCTTATCAACCATTTGCACATTTCCCTTCATGTTCCACATTAACACTTGCAATCAAACAAACTGGATGGATACATTTCCGAAAAAGAACTTTCCTAGAACTGAGATTATACGAACGTGGTGAGAATGTTTTCGGCACTGAACTTTTTTATGCCACACAGAATTGATTTGACTCGGTGGTAGGTCTTGTTTCTTCAACTTGCAACCTTTTAGTTCTCTCAATTTCTTGTCATCAATCTTTATTTGAGAATATTTATCAATGGAAATCAGCAAGCGTTCCTCGTCATTTTTAACGGACAGCAAAAAGATAAGACGCGTTTGCTCATCAAAAATGATCGAATTGTTTTAGATGACATTTTCAGAATTACTTCATCAAAGTGGAAATTTTTGATTAGTAGTGTGCGTTGATATTTCGACGAATTTTTTTGCGTGTCTCATGATAAATCAAATGTGATTAATCACGTTGTGTCCTCATTTCTCTTAGAAACTACTCTTTGATCACCAACAATCACTGAACCTACTGATCTCGACGAGAACAGAAGAATGTCTATTGAAAAACTGTTTGTCTGAAAGAAATTAACCGATTAGTGCTGCTCCGAAGATGGATGGAAGGGGCATGCAAAATGAAAAAAACCTAAAAATGGCACAGCGAATTGTTTCTCTGATCTTGTTCTGTGGTTGTGTTGCGGTTCCGGTTTTGAGGGTTTCTTCGCGGAAGTTTAAAGACTTTCAGCGAAACTGTCTGTGCATTCTTTCGAAATTTACAGTGCTAATTGCACAGTAATAATCGTTAATTTGCGTTCATTTTACTTACGAACTCATCAAAAAACAATCTTTAACGTTAACAATTTGAGCAAAAAGTTTCTTGGTATCAACCAAACGAAGCGATTTAAGAAAAGGAAATGGTTCCTGCAATGCGACACTTTTTTCACGAATGCTCCGTATTAGTCAAGTATGCGTATCATTAGGTCACCGACTAAACGTAATCCTTTAAAACTCTTCCGTCGACTCACTCAACTAACATTCCGCAAAGAACATTTCTGTTTCAAAAGCAAAAAATTCACTGGGGCAGCACCAGCAACGAACGATATCAACTATGGTTTGCTTAGCAGAGTTTAGTGCGTGTGTTGAATGAATGAATACGGTAATTGAAGAAAGCAGCGCGCATGGCAAAGCGCACAATGGATGAAGACGAGGGAGCAAAGCTGAAAATGAGCAGCGCATTCAACTAACTCAGTACTTCATTTCCGATGAAAAACATACGTGGCCTGTCGGTCGGCTCTATGACACGTTTTGAGATTATTGCTGAGGAGTATATATTCATTCACATGTACATCACATACTATGCAATCGTCATTTTATACTGTTGTTAGGTAGAGTCTTCACAGTAAGGAGTCAACTCATTTTCAAATGATCACAGCAGCAGAAGAGCACAAAAGGAGACGACGGAAGATAAAATATTTCGAAAGAATTTGGCACTCTATTAACTGAAAAGATGTTAAATGAAAAGAATCTGAAGGGGACGATGCACGATGTTCTTTACTGACTGCATTAAGCGTTTTAGTTTGTTTAGTTGTCCGCTTTCGCTCAACACTGCGATTTCAAATGAATTCGAAGCGAATTTTCTCATTTCTTTAGTTTTGCTTGAAATTAATTCCTGAGAGGAATNGGTGAATTGTTTCGAAACTTGTTTCGAAATACCTTCTTTTTACTCTTTCTGTTCAACGAACCGAATGATCCAGTGTAAAACAAAGTATGTACAACCGGTCTGCGAATTCGTTGATCTTAAGAGACCAAGAACTTTTTCTTAAGAACTTTTTTCATCAAATTTTTTGGACGGATGTCTTGCGAACAGGGACCTAATTTTCTGCGTGCGAATAGAAACAACTACCTACATGATAAGAAACAAATTTATTCTGATTAACTCGAAGAATAGTCCAAAAATGGCAATAGGGATGTGCTAAATGTGAATGTATTCAGTTTAGACCCACATGTTTTGAAATTTCCACTGAAAGAAAAAAATTGTTCAACTGTTTCTTCAGCCTATAAAATGTTATATAAATGATTCACAATTTGAGCGAGATTCAAAAGTTTTGAAAAGTTAGGAAATTTTTCAAATGAAATTCGACTGGTGATTGGATGTGATGTGCCAAGAAAAGATGGAATTTTGAGCGCAATCTAAATTTAGTGATTAGAAGAACGACATTGCTGACTAACAGGCTCGCTTTCAACAATGTGCTCATGAAATTACTCATGCACTCACAATAACAGCAACACAACAACAGCACAACAACAACATGAGCAATCATCATCAATCACTTTAAGGAAACAATCTGTCTTTACGCCGGAGACGATTTTGGCTAATTGAAGGCGCCACATTAAGAAATGAGGCGAACGCCAATTGCATCTCGGAATCGGTGCACACATACTACTGCAGCTTGATGCTTGACCAAACGAGAATTGCTCCAAATCATTGCCTGCAAACGATACTCAACTGAGTCTGCACACTTATCCGCACTGTTCCATTCTTCTTGATGAATCGAGGGATTGTTTAAGCGTGTTAAACATAATCCATCGAGATTAGCTTCATTAGAGTTATGAGTGGTTTTATTACGGATGATCAAAATGAATAGGATAATCGAAGAGAAAAGGTGATGTTCTGGATGCTAGATATTCATTGCACACCATCCATTACAAAACTTATCGATAACATCTAGGTTATAATCACTTGCCCTCAAGTGTCTCAAATGATAAAAATGTTTTTGCTCGAAATGTCTAAGTAATTTGATCACCTGATGAAAAGGGAAAAGAAAGTGTAATGTAGCAGAGAAAATCCGTGTCAATACGCTATGAATTCAAAGGATATGGTAGATAGAAGTGACAGAATCAGCTGTTTGAAGAACGTCCATGCATGTGACATTTTATGACCACTTAATAAGTTCTCAGCAACGTTTAATACCGAATGCAGTGATTAATTACCGTTGAAACGATACAAACAAATACCGCACAACGATAAACTCATCACTCATGCAACATTTGCAAGTGACACTTCGCAATGCCTCTGCCTCGTAATGAAATTATATCCAGCTTCAATAAGTTCTCATCCACTTCCTATATATTCATCGAATCAACTCATTGTGTTTCATTTGTCTTTTAGGATTGTCACAGTGCTTGTCACTTAGCTATCGTTTTGTTTTGCACTGGTGCTAAACTTGTAGAGGCGAAAATGCCTAACTTCAGGTCATGATTATTGCATGATGGGTAGAATTTCAAGTTGACCATTATGAGAACATGTTTCGCCTGCAGCCTCCTTCCACTCTTTCTGTTCTTTCTTCATCTTATAGCAAAATTAATTTGCTGATGAACTGTGAGCATTTCTGCCGACGAACATTAATGACCAGAGCAGTGGCCATGTCATCGGCACTGTTGAATGGTGATCAATTTTATTCGATGATAATTTTTCAAGCGAACGTTAAGTGTTTGAGAGGCAAGTGATGAATAGCTGCAGTGTCTCTCAAGTTCCTCGTCATCGATCGTCTTTTGAAGTATATTCTATACATTCATGTGTCATATGAAATGATAATGACGATGACACAATCTCATCAAACTAATTTATGGATGGCAGTATTCTTTGGAAAGTATTTGCTGTGAAGTTCAGAACATAAAATAGGATTTTGTGTTTTGCGAACGTGTTGACGACATGTGTTTTGGTTCAGTAACTTCATATTTGACTGCAACAATCGTTATATTAAACGCACAATCGCATCTATTCATTCAGCCGAAAATATGATTGCGACGTTCAGCTCACATCACGTACCACACTTTACATCTGCACCAAATCAATCAACCCCACCACCACGTTGCCACTCTTTGAACTCTAATCATTCATATATATGTGACTGATTTGTCCAAAATCGGCAAAATCACCGTATTTCAGGGTTTCCATCCATCGGTCCACGATCTCAGCGGAGCAGCGTCTTCATCGGCGCAGCAACAGCACTCTTCTTCTACACCTGATAATCATCACCCTTTAGTATTGGGCGGGGCGCCTCCTCTGACGGCTGGGGGCACCCAAGCGTCCATCCCGCTGACAGCCGTCAGTAGCCCTTCTGGAAGGTGAGTGAGTTTCTTTTGGTGTATAAGCTGAGGATTTCGACCCATCCTTCCAGAAACGAACAGTTTTGAGAAAAAGAAACAATATCAGCAAGTCATTATCCACACGAGAGCGAAAGCAGATCACAAATAATCAGCAGATCACAAACATTCACAACGACCATCGAATTAAAGCCAGTCTTCGATATCAGCTCAAAGCTAAGCTTATGCATATTTCAGTTCCTCTGCGGGCGGCCAACGGCTCGATTCTACGCCACATTCAGTGGAAACTCCTAATCAGTTGCTCAATACACAACAAACTAGTGTTGACAATATTTCGGATGCAGGTCACTATTTCACTTCATTTCCCAGTCACGTATTCCTGACCCGTTGATTGTCTCTTACCCGAATGTCTGCCTCAAAATTTATATCCAGCTAAAACGAAACGTTCACTGGCACTGAAGTGATTCTGTGCCATTGGGAACTTGACAAACTCCTTAAAGTATATATTTCCATCGGATGCATTCAGTTACTTTTCTCAAAAACTTCCAAAAATACTCCTATTGTCAGTTCCTGAACTCAGCATCGTAATGCAACTTTATTTTGAGTTTGGTTATTGCTGTCATTGTTGTTTTCAGTAGAATTATTCCTTGAAATCTTTATTTTCAATTCCCCTGTGTTCTATCCACCAAACACTGTTTGTACGTATCTACTCCTTATCAGTTCACAATCAACCCTCTAATACCAAAAACACTTTTCATTGATACTTGGAATGACAGCAGATCATGCCTCCGATAAGAACACAATGCACGCATAAAAAATAGATGGCATGAACATAACCGATTACATAGTAATCAGAACGCTCCTCTTTGAAAGATTCGGATTAATCAGTCCCTGGAGAGCGGTCGTTGAAGAACGAGGCACAAATGAAGAGAGCAACAAAAAGCATGCAAATGAAGAAACGGGAAAAACCGAGAAATTTATTTCTTTTGATGATCTCAGAACTCAACCGAACCGAATACAACCGTTCTTCCATTGGAGATGCAAAGATGCAAAACTTCCAAGAATAAATTTTGACGTCAATGATTGTCAGTTAGGAGCAATTTTGTTCTGCTATCGGTAGCTATTTGAGGGATGAAATTGTTTAGACTCAAGACTTGAGGGTTAAAAAATCAAGATGATCAATTTAAGCAAATGAATGACCAACTAGAAGAACTCACAGAAAAGGTTAACAGATAACTTTTGATTTTCTGCACAGTTCAGAGTTCCTACACATTTGCTTCCACTTCGGGATGAGATGCAAAACATTGCAATCAAGCACAAAGTGTTAATGCGATACGATCATAGGAACAAAACGTTGATTTATCCATTGGTGGGTGCACTCAACATATAACT